CCATCTACGATCTTCCCCCTGGAGAAGGTACTCACAGAAATAAATAAAAGGCATCAACCAAATTCCACGGTAACAGAAGATATGGAAACAGACGGTAACCTTCCCCACACGGAAAACAAATCATATCTATCACAGTCAACTGAGGATCTAAAACTTAGAATATTTACCAAAGATAAATCTAGCCCACTAGCAACTAACTTTAAGCCCTCTAAACCAAAAACAAAATCAAAATCCACTAACAAAAACCTTCATAAAAACAAGTAAGAAAGTTCTAGTCGAGACTACTCGACTACGAGATCCCCTGAACCCTTGGAGTAATAGCTATTTCAATAATTTTTGGCGGCAGTGAGCGCTTAGTATGAGAACTTAATTGCTTAATAACTTTTTTCATGGACGTACGATCTTCATGAAACTTTTAGATTATGATTATGACATGGATATGCATGTAATTGCCAAAGCACAAGTCTCTAGTATTTGAAATACGCTTTTTACAAAAGTGAGGGGTGAGGGGGGTGAATTTAAGGGGGGGGGGTAAATTTTAACAAAAACCGAAATTGTATAAATTGCATATAGGCATACATTAAAATTTTGGAGACTCTAGCAATAAAGGTGTAGAAGATATAATTTTATAACTGGTTTTCGATAAGATTTTTTATCGATAAAAAAAGATCGGGATGAATTTTCGATTTTTAATGATAAACTTGATATGCGCGCTGTAATTACGAACATTTTAAAAAAAATTTGAAGTCTCTAGCTCTTATATCTTCTGAAATCGACGCGTTCATACATACGGACAGACGGACAGACGGACGGACGGACGGACAGACGGACAGACAGACGGACAGGGCCAAATCAACTCAGCTCGTCGCCCTGATCAAGAATATATATACTTTGTGGGGTCTGCCACGCCTCCTTCTGCCTGTTACATACATTTCAACAAAACCATTATACCCTGATTTCCCATTGAAAATGGGTTCAGGGTATAAAAACATAACTTCAACCGCACACCATCACCAGACAGTAGGTACCGTGGAACGAAGCCACAGAACACTTAACAAGTTCATACGATCTTACATATCAGTCGATAAGACAGATTGGGAAGTATGTTTAAGATACTTTGTGTATTGTTTTAACACAACACCCTCTATGGCACATGACTATTGTCCATATGAGCTCGTGCTCGGCAAAACGTCAAACTTGCCAAAAGATTTTAATAGCATAGATACAATAAAGCCACTTTATAATGTAAAACACTATGCTAAGGAATCAAAATTTAGACTAGAACAGGCATATAAGAGAGCTAGGATAATGCTAGAAACAAATAAGAACAAGTAACAAGACTCTAGTCGAGATGCTCGACTAGGAGATACCCTGAACCCTCTAATCTGATATTCTAATCAGTCTGCACTTCTTTTCGACACACATACATACACACGCACGTAGTAGAACGCGCTCTGCTAACTGCGCAGTAAGCAGCGACTGCGCTTGGGCTGCGCTGTAGTGTGGGCAACATTATAAGAATTTCTGTTGTTGAATAATTTAATCATATGGTACATTCTAAAGCACACGTCTCTAGTACTTGAAATACGCCTTTTACAATGGTGATGGCGAGGGGGTGGATTACAACAAAAATCGAAATTATATAAAATACATATAAGTCTACATTTAAAATTTGGAAGCTTTAGCTGTAAAGTTGTAGGAGATATAATTAAATAACTAGCTTTCGATAAGGTTTTTAATCGATAATAAAATATCGGGATTATTTATCAATATATAAAGAAAAACTTGATATGCGCGTGATATACACGGACCTAGGAAAAAAATTTCAAGTCTCTAGCTCTTATATCTTCTGAGATCGACGCGTTCATATATACGGACGGACAGACAGACGGACAGGGCCAAATCGACTCAGCTCGTCGCCCTGATCAAGAATATATATATACTTTGTGGGGTCTGCCACGCCTCCTTCTGCCTGTTACATACATTTCAACAAAACCATTATACCCTGATTTCCCATTGAAAATTGGTTCAGGGTATAAAAATAAAAAACAAGTAGTACATAAAGATAGATTAAAAATGTTTAATTCATAATCAATTAATTGCAAAAAAAAAAAAAAAAAAAAAAACCAAAAATAAAACTATAAACAAGTAAGAAAGCTCTAGTCGAGACTGCTCGACTACGAGATCCCCTGAACCCTTGGAGCAATAGATATTTCAATACTTTTTCGCGACTTTCAGCGCACACAAGAAACACGCACACACACACACACACACACGCATAAAGACACACATACACACACACACGCATACATACAAAAAACGCATACACACACACACACACACACATACACAAACAATTACATACATATACACACACACAAGCATAAACACGCATGGGCTGCAGTGTGCGCTTACTATGAGAACTTAATTGTTTAATAAGTTTTTTATGGACGTACGATCTTCATGAAACTTTTAGATTATGATTATAAAATGAATATGCATGTAATTGCCAAAGCACAAGTCTCTAGTATTAGAGATACGCTTTTTACAAAAGTGATGGTGAGGGGGTGAATTTAGAGGTGGGGGTAAATTTTAACAAAAACCGAAATTGTATAAATTGCATATAAGCATACAAGCATATATATACTTTGTGGGGTCTGCCACGCCTCCTTCTGCCCGTTACATACTTTTTCACAAAACCATTATACCCTGATTTCCCATTTTCAATGGGTTCAGGGTATAAAAAATCAAAATCAAGAACAGGAATGATCAACCTGCTTGATATAAGACACAAAAAAAAAAAAAAACCCCTGGATAAGTAATATAACTAAGAAAACAAGTAAGAAAGCTCTAGTCGAGACTACTCGACTACGAGATCCCCTGAACCCTTGGAGCAATAGCTATTTCAATAATTTTTCGCGTCTTACAGCTTACACAAGAAACACGCACACACACACGCGCACGCACAAACAGGCATACATACACATACACACACATACATACACACACACACACACACACACACACACACATACACAAACAATTACATACATATACACACACACAAGCATAAACACGCATGGGCGGCAGTGAGCGCTTACTATGAGAACTTAATTTCTTAATAACTTTTTTGTGGACGTACGATCATCATCATGAAACTTTTAGATTATGATTATGACATGGATATGCATGTAATTGCCAAAGCACAAGTCTCTAGTATTTGAAATACGCTTTTTACAAAAGTGAGGGTGAGGGGGTGAATTTAGAGGTGGGGGGGTAAATTTTAACAAAAACCGAAATTGTATAAATTGCATATAAGCATACATTAACAAGTAAGAAGGCTCCAGTCGAGACTGCTCGACTGGGAGATACCCTGAACCCTCCAAGCTGATATTCTAATCATTCTGCACTTCTTCTATGCACACATACATACACATGCACTTATAAGCACGCGCTCTGCTAACTGCGCAGTAAGCAGCGGCTACGCTTGGGCTGCGCTGCAATGTGGGCAATATTATGAGAATTTATTAGTTGAATAATTTCTCTTGTAGTAAGAGTATCTTTATGAAACTTTTAGAATGTGTTTATATAGTTAAAATGTGTGTACATTCCAAAGCACAAGTCTCTAGTACTTGAAATGCGTTTTTTACAAATTGGGGGCGAAGGGGGCGTGGTATCCAAAATCTGTAAATTACAAAATCTTTGTATCCATTAACTCTATATACAACGCAAATTTGAAGTCTCCTGGTTGAAAAGTGTTCAAATTAGGCTGAAAAAACAATGTCGATTTTTCGATTATTCTCGATAAAAAAGTTATCGGATGAGTTATCGAAAAAATAAAGCAAACTCGTACTGCCTATGATATACACGAGTATGCATGCCAAATTTCAGCTCTCTAGCTCTTATAACTTCTGAGATCCTTTTGCTCATACGGACGGACGGACGGACGGACGGACAGACGGACAGGGCTATATCGACTCAGCTCGTCGTCCTGATCAAGAATATATATACTTTATGGGGTCTGCGATGATTCCTTCTGCCTGTTACATACTTTTCACAAAACCATTATACCCTGATTTCCCATTTTCAATGGGTTCAGGGTATAATAACTCCAATAAAATTATGTTATTTTTCAAAAGGAGGGAGATGTAGTACGTCCACTTTATCAAATGTTCACTGTACTCAGTACCTTACATATTTACATATACAAAGAATGTCACAAATACATTGTTACAATTAAAGTGCAATATTCATACATAACTCGCAGTCACAACATAAGAGGTCATATGATCACTCTCAAGAGCATGTGCCTTAACAGAGTACTAACTCCGGTGAGTCGGCATATTTTACATGCGCGACTGTTTCGTAAACAAGTGGACACATTACGCCCTCTCCGTCTGCGACTCTCGCCAGACCCTTAAGCTAATACATAAACACTTATACCTAAGCATATATGTATATGTACGAAGCCGCTCCGCTGCTGGCGTAACCGGCAGCGCAGCTATGCGGCTCTAACCATAAGAATATATTCAATAAAGAACATTCGCAAAAGAAGTCTAAGAAGGCACTGACGTGCCATCGTAAATAAATGCTTTCTTTATTAAAACATTCGACAAATTATCCTCAACATACATACATACATATGTATGTGAGCACTTCACAAGATCGACCGAATGCAAATGCTGTGCTTCAAAATTGCTACAGGCAGCTAGAGCTACACACACAGGCATACAAATGCTCATAGTACATGTAGCAAGGGACAGTGTATGTGTGCATGCTCGTCGCGAAAGAATTTTCATTATGCGCACCAACGCTTTCATACCCTTAAAAATAAAGTATTTGAAGTACTGGAGACTTGTGGTTTTGAATGTGAACATATTTTGATCTATCATTAGGTTATCAAACTTTCACAAAACCAATATTTTCTTAAAAACGATGATCGATGATCACCAACTTCTTACTCGTTTAATATTAATATAATTCTTTTTATATATTTATAGTATCAATTGGAGGTGTTATCGGACTTTTTATTGGAGCATCTTTACTAAACATTATAGAGCTAATATCAATTTTTAGCTATAAGATATATAATTGTATAAATTAAAGTAATCTAAATATATGTAGCGGCTTGTATTTTTAATTATAAAATAAATAGCAACTTTTACTCTTACCCTCGTCTGATAAATTGTTAATATTATCCCGGTATCCTCACTATTGGCGTGAAAACGTTTGTTATAAAACATACACTACAGTGCAATACACTCCATAGCAACTCTTGGCCCAAATTCACATATATTCATTTGTTTAACTTAAATTTATACCTATATTCTTATATTTGGGACAAATCTAATTGCTTGCCTCTCTTGCATTTTAAAACCTCCTCTCTCCTTTCATGCATTATTCTGCACGCTCAGTTGAGTGAAATTTGTCACTTGCATTTTTCGTTCCGCTACTAAATCTTTTGCGTAATTTGGGTTTAACTCTGGCAGTGAATGTGATCATCATAAAGTTGTTGTTGATCGAATCATGTCTCTGGAGAGCCTTAAAACACAGCGCGCGAATACTCGCCGCAATATTAGCCGTATTCATAATATAGGCGATCCCATACTACGGGAAAGGAAATCTGCGCCACTTCAAGCTGAATTAAAGAGTCGCTTGGAAAATTTTAAGCAAGAAATGGTTTTGCAGATCCAAATTGAAAAGGAGTGTCCGACCGATATAGGACGTGCCGAACTGGAGGAGCTGTATGTAGAAATAAAGGTTTGCATTACAGAGCAATTCACGGATAAGATGCACGAATCACCATTCGCATCTGGGCCTACGTTCTTATCGTCTGCCAAGCTGCCCCGACTTACGCTACCTACATTTGATGGCAATTATGCGGACTACAAGAATTTTAATGCGCTATTCAATTAAATAGTACGCTATTCAATAGAACAGTTTGTCAAACATCGAGAAGTTTAATCAACTGATCAGCTGCTTAAAGGGAGCAGCATTAGAATGGGTAAAAACCTTTCAGATCACACCAGAATATTACCGGACGGCCTTTGATCGTTTGAATCAACGCTACGACGATGGACAATATCTCATGCTCATGTTTATAGCCATTGTCATGGATAACATTGTTATGGAACCCAAGCGCAAATGGAACGAATCATTGAATTATTCCAAGTTGCCTACGTGGGATTTGTGTGTACAGGTAGTTGGGAGGCATTGCCAATATTTGGAATCAAGCGGTAAGTCCGAATCGAGCCAGGCTCGAACTGCGATTGCTAGCAAATCACGATGCCAGACAGCCACGCGACATGGTTTGTCTTTTAATTGTTCAACTCGCTCATGTCCTCTTTCTCTTAGTTTACAGCATCTAATTTCAATTTGAAGTCGACTTCAGGAGATGTCGGTTGTAGAGCGCTATGAAGCAGCAAAACGACATAGTCGGTGTTTAAACTGTCTTGGCAAGGCCCACCAGACATCCATCTACTCAAAGAGGTCGATTTTGCTCGAGACCTCATCACAGATTATTACATCGGAAGGCAGCTGTGACTAGATCGACATTTACTTTGCCCAGCGGCTCGAATTCAAACGATGCTGTGACACATACACACTCCAATCGAACAGACCAGGTCATCCTAGTAATAGCCATCGTCGAGGTCATGGATGCATCTGGAAACAACAGGATCGGTCGTGCTCTATTGGATTCTTGCTCACAGGTGAACTTCATCTCAGAACAGTTCGCACAGTCAGTACGCTTGCCAAAGGTCAAACGGCATATGCGAATCTGTAGCGTAGGCAAGTCACACGCATACATCAAGTTTGGCACTTCGGCCACAATCAAGTCACGCTTGGAGGATTTCAAGATGCCCATTGATTTCTGCGTGACGTCACACATTGCATATTAGCCGGATTCGGACATCGACATTTCATCTTGGAACATACCCAAGAACACACCTTTAGCTGATGAGAAGTTTCACAAAACTTATTGGAACTGAAACATTTTTTATACCCTGAACTCATTTTCAATGGGAAATCAGGGTATAATGGTTTAGTTGAAATGTATGTAAGAGGCAGAAGGAGGCGTGGCAGACCCCATAAAGTATATATATTCTTGATCAGGGCGACGGGCTGAGTCGATTTGGCCCTGTCCGTCTGTCTGTCCGTCCGTCTGTCCGTCTGTCCGTCCGTCCGTCTGTCCGTATGTATGAACGTGTATGTGTGCATGCTCGTCGCGAAAGAATTTTCATTATGCGCACCAACGCTTTCATACCCTTAAAAATAAAGTATTTGAAGTACTGGAGACTTGTGGTTTTGAATGTGAACATATTTTGATCTATCATTAGGTTATCAAACTTTCACAAAACCAATATTTTCTTAAAAACGATGATCGATGATCACCAACTTCTTACTCGTTTAATATTAATATAATTCTTTTTATATATTTATAGTATCAATTGGAGGTGTTATCGGACTTTTTATTGGAGCATCTTTACTAAACATTATAGAGCTAATATCAATTTTTAGCTATAAGATATATAATTGTATAAATTAAAGTAATCTAAATATATGTAGCGGCTTGTATTTTTAATTATAAAATAAATAGCAACTTTTACTCTTACCCTCGTCTGATAAATTGTTAATATTATCCCGGTATCCTCACTATTGGCGTGAAAACGTTTGTTATAAAACATACACTACAGTGCAATACACTCCATAGCAACTCTTGGCCCAAATTCACATATATTCATTTGTTTAACTTAAATTTATACCTATATTCTTATATTTGGGACAAATCTAATTGCTTGCCTCTCTTGCATTTTTAAAACCTCCTCTCTCCTTTCATGCATTATTCTGCACGCTCAGTTGAGTGAAATTTGTCACTTGCATTTTTCGTTCCGCTACTAAATCTTTTGCGTAATTTGGGTTTAACTCTGGCAGTGAATGTGATCATCATAAAGTTGTTGTTGATCGAATCATGTCTCTGGAGAGCCTTAAAACACAGCGCGCGAATACTCGCCGCAATATTAGCCGTATTCATAATATAGGCGATCCCATACTACGGAAAGGAAATCTGCGCCACTTCAAGCTGAATTAAAGAGTCGCTTGGAAAATTTTAAGCAAGAAATGGTTTTGCAGATCCAAATTGAAAAGGAGTGTCCGACCGATATAGGACGTGCCGAACTGGAGGAGCTGTATGTAGAAATAAAGGTTTGCATTACAGAGCAATTCACGGATAAGATGCACGAATCACCATTCGCATCTGGGCCTACGTTCTTATCGTCTGCCAAGCTGCCCCGACTTACGCTACCTACATTTGATGGCAATTATGCGGACTACAAGAATTTTAATGCGCTATTCAATTAAATAGTACGCTATTCAATAGAACAGTTTGTCAAACATCGAGAAGTTTAATCAACTGATCAGCTGCTTAAAGGGAGCAGCATTAGAATGGGTAAAAACCTTTCAGATCACACCAGAATATTACCGGACGGCCTTTGATCGTTTGAATCAACGCTACGACGATGGACAATATCTCATGCTCATGTTTATAGCCATTGTCATGGATAACATTGTTATGGAACCCAAGCGCAAATGGAACGAATCATTGAATTATTCCAAGTTGCCTACGTGGGATTTGTGTGTACAGGTAGTTGGGAGGCATTGCCAATATTTGGAATCAAGCGGTAAGTCCGAATCGAGCCAGGCTCGAACTGCGATTGCTAGCAAATCACGATGCCAGACAGCCACGCGACATGGTTTGTCTTTTAATTGTTCAACTCGCTCATGTCCTCTTTCTCTTAGTTTACAGCATCTAATTTCAATTTGAAGTCGACTTCAGGAGATGTCGGTTGTAGAGCGCTATGAAGCAGCAAAACGACATAGTCGGTGTTTAAACTGTCTTGGCAAGGGCCACCAGACATCCATCTACTCAAAGAGGTCGATTTTGCTCGAGACCTCATCACAGATTATTACATCGGAAGGCAGCTGTGACTAGATCGACATTTACTTTGCCCAGCGGCTCGAATTCAAACGATGCTGTGACACATACACACTCCAATCGAACAGACCAGGTCATCCTAGTAATAGCCATCGTCGAGGTCATGGATGCATCTGGAAACAACAGGATCGGTCGTGCTCTATTGGATTCTTGCTCACAGGTGAACTTCATCTCAGAACAGTTCGCACAGTCAGTACGCTTGCCAAAGGTCAAACGGCATATGCGAATCTGTAGCGTAGGCAAGTCACACGCATACATCAAGTTTGGCACTTCGGCCACAATCAAGTCACGCTTGGAGGATTTCAAGATGCCCATTGATTTCTGCGTGACGTCACACATTGCATATTAGCCGGATTCGGACATCGACATTTCATCTTGGAACATACCCAAGAACACACCTTTAGCTGATGAGAAGTTTCACAAAACTTATTGGAACTGAAACATTTTTTATACCCTGAACCCATTTTCAATGGGAAATCAGGGTATAATGGTTTAGTTGAAATGTATGTAAGAGGCAGAAGGAGGCGTGGCAGACCCCATAAAGTATATATATTCTTGATCAGGGCGACGAGCTGAGTCGATTTGGCCCTGTCCGTCTGTCTGTCCGTCCGTCTGTCCGTCTGTCCGTCCGTCCGTCTGTCCGTATGTATGAACGTATGTGTGCATGCTCGTCGCGAAAGAATTTTCATTATGCGCACCAACGCTTTCATACCCTTAAAAATAAAGTATTTGAAGTACTGGAGACTTGTGGTTTTGAATGTGAACATATTTTGATCTATCATTAGGTTATCAAACTTTCACAAAACCAATATTTTCTTAAAAACGATGATCGATGATCACCAACTTCTTACTCGTTTAATATTAATATAATTCTTTTTATATATTTATAGTATCAATTGGAGGTGTTATCGGACTTTTTATTGGAGCATCTTTACTAAACATTATAGAGCTAATATCAATTTTTAGCTATAAGATATATAATTATATAAATTAAAGTAATCTAAATATATGTAGCGGCTTGTATTTTCAATTATAAAATAAATAGCAACTTTTACTCTTACCCTC